ATGAGGCTTTCTGCTCCTGTAAAGATTTACAGCCTCGGAAACCCTGTACAGGGTCGCTATGGGTCAGAACCGACTCCACGGCACATAACCACTAGCCATCTCCACTAGCAGCCCCATTCCTCATGCCTACAGCGGCTTCCTCCTCTTGGATCCCTGGTCTGGGTGGTGCCTCTCTGAAACCTAGGACTAACTGGGCTTCTCTCCTACTTCACATCTTTCCCCAGCTCCCCACTGCCTTTAGTCTTATCACGCAAAACTGCCCTAAATCAACAGAAACCTGCTTTTCCAGCGTGTGAGTCCTACTTCTCTTAAGCCCCAAATTACACACCCCACTTTTGAATAGTGATCTCTAGCTTTCTCAACAACCCTGTGAAGGTGGGATTCAGGAGCTCCATTTTACAGATGTGAAAACTGAGTTCCACACAGGTCAGACTCTGAGGCCCCAGCTTGTTTTCCACAGGGCGATTCCTCTCTGTCATTCATTATGATGCCTTAGTGACTTTGCTTATGCATGAGTGTGATGCAGACATCCCTCAGTTACACCTGATCACTCTCACATATCCGGACACTATCGTACCTGTCCCCAGGCATTGCTGATTATACTGTTTAATTGGAAGAGTTCACCATTGTTAGAAATCATCCTACTTGTTTATACATGGACCATCCTCCTCTCAGACTGGAACATCAGCTCCGAGAGAGCAGGGATGCTGTCTGTCTTGTGTCCCAGCCCTGAGAGCCACACTTGGCACATTGCAGATGCTCAGGAAACAGCCGTGGCTCCAGCTGATGGGCTGGATCCTCTGAGCAGCACCGAATCCCCTCTCTCCAGTGCTCTCTCTCGCAGCCTCTGCCACTGCAGACTCTCCCTGGGAGTTTCTGCGTGAGGTCTTGTGCTTAGGGTTTCGCTTGGGTCTCCTCCACTACCTGCGAACACCGGCCAATGTGGAAGCACCCACAGTTGGGCACTTGGTCTGTTCTGGCCCCATCTACTGCATGGTGGGAATCAGACACAATCTTCCTAAGGGCAGGACCCACCCCCGACAAGGATTCTGGGACCAGGGTCTCCCTCAGGGTGAGCTCACAGCTCTAAGAGTCCGGCCCAGTGTCAGGAGGAAACCTGAGACAGATGGGACAAGGGACAGGGAACACAGCTACTACTGCAGCTAGTTTATTGCAACCAGAATCCCCCAGTCATGTGGGGGAGGAGGAGGGGACCAAGCAGGACACTGTCACTGGTATGACACCCAGGTTAGCCTCCTTACCAGCTGGCTGAGCCCCTGCCTCCGTACCTCCTTTCCCCCCAAGTCAGGACCTCCCACAGGGCTGAGCCAGAAGGAAGGCAGGGGGCATCTACCTCAGCAGAACCTTTACCCAGGATGTCTGAGTGAAGGGATGGGGATGTGGCTCAGGGTTCTAGGCTACCACTTCCTGCCCTTGTCCTTGGTGGGCTGCTAGGGGAAGCCACCTGACATTCTGCCCATGGGTTAAGGACACAGGAGGGAAACAAAAGCTCCAAGAGAGACAACAGGGTCTGAGAGCACACAGTGGGCCCTGGGGTGGCTGCCTCTTAGGTCCGGCTGTGACCCCCCTCCCCAGCTGTTACGTGGGGATCTGCATGTGGTTCAGGTCCTGCTCCATAATCTGGAGCACATCGTCCAGGATGGAGGGGCCCAGGTCCACGTGCAGGGAGAGCAGAGAGCTGGCGTGGGACAGGAAGGGGTCCTCAGCTTCCGATTCGGGGGTCAGCCCATTGTGGGTAGGTCCAGCCTCTGGAGTTCTCCAAACATCCATGCCCCTTGCCTCCTGTGGGGAGGGCTGTGGGGAGGACTTCGGGGAGGGCTGTGGGGTCTCCAGGTGCAGCCGCGGGGGCTTGGGAGGGGCCTGGGCGAGGGGCAGGGTGAGTGCCTGGGGCCCAGCAATGACCGGGAGGGATATAGCATTCTTGAGCAGCGGGGACAGCCCATCAGGGAGCTCCCGCCCAGATACCGTGGCAGTGCGCGTGAACTGGAAGGGAAGGTCCATGGTGCTGTCTTCTTCCTCCGGCCCTTCACCCGCTGTCCCGGGAAGGAGATGGAACTTGCCCTGAAGGAAGGAGATGTCTCCGAACATGTCTCCTCCACCACCACTGCCGATGTGGATGGTGTGGCGGAAGTCCCCCAGTGGTGGGCTGATCATATCTGAGGACAGTAGGTCCCTCAGCTTCTCCTTCTTGCCCTTGCGGCTGCTGCGCTTCAGGTAGATGGGCACCTTGGTGGACATTTTGACACTGCACCCAGGTCTGAGCTTCACGCTGGCCCCTTACCACCTGCCACTAGAATACTCACTCAGATAGTGATTTCAGGCCTCAGAGTTTGTCAAAGGGCTAGGGGACAAGGGTGTGTGAGGTCTGACCAAAGTTGATCCAAGGCAAAGTCACTTTCTCCCACAAGGGTTGAAAGCTCAGTCCGGAAACCGGAAGTCTTGTAGACAGCAATGATCTTTGATCTTGTCCTCTCAAATTCCTCCTTCGTCCAAGGCCGAGAACTGTCCTGCTCTGAAACACAAAGGGTCAAAGTCAGGACAGCAGGGTAAAAGTCAGAAGCATCTGTCTTGACCGCAGAACTTGGGTGGAGTCACCCTTCTGGGGGAGCCTTCTTCACTCACAAACTCACTGCTGTTGAGAGTTTGGATCATCAGGGCAGACCCTCTCCCTTGGCACATGGGGAAACTGAGGCTTGGGCCGTTGAGTTTCAGGCCAAAGTCACACACTAAGTCTCTTGCCTGTCTCACCCCTACTCTGACTACCATTGGTCATCATCAACTGTGCCGCATACTGTGACAAGTGTCCAATTGTGTGTTTGGGGGAGTCTCATAAACGTGCCTCCAGTCCCTCCAGGACCAAAGACAGAGACCTTGTCACCTCCTTATCCCACGTGGCCGGGCATAGACCTAGACGTCCAGCTGATGCTCAGGAAACACCTCTGAGGGTCTCTTCTCTCCTTCTCAGGGTTCCTTGAGGGAGAAGCCAAGTCTAATATTCTATCTGCCTCTCCCCCTGCCCAGCCTCTAGGGGGAGGATGGAGTGGGGAGTGAGTACAGATACACTGGGACCCCTTGCTCGATGCCTGTCACTTTGTGGAGCTCTTGTTGTTAAGTGCCATGGAGTCGGTTCTGACTCACAGTGACCCTATATAGGGTTTCTGAGAAGCGGCTGGTGAGCTTGAACTGCTGACCTTGCAGTTCAAACCAACCTTGAGGTCCAGTGCATTAACCCACTGTTGTTGTTGTTGTTAAGTGTTGTCAAGTTGGCTCAGACTCATAGCGACGCTGTATAGGGTTTCCAGCTGCTCCTTGGAAACCCTATACAAGGTCGCTATGGATCGGAACCGACTCGACAGCACTTCACAACAACAACATTTGCCTAGTGGTGATGGTTATGTGCCACAGAGACGGTTCCGACTCATAGCGACCCTGCACAGGGTTTCCAAGGCTGTAAATCTTTAAGGGAGCAGAAAGCCTCATCTTTCTCCTGCGGAACGGCTGGTAGTTTCGAATTGCTGACCTTGTGGTTCACAGCCCGATTCGTAACCACTACGCTACCAGAGCTCCTTGAGTTAATGTATTTGCCTGGTGTGGCGCTGCAGGTTAATGCGTTGGACTGCAAAGTCAGTTTGAACCTCAAGGTCAATGGTAAATACGTTTCATTTAATCATCACAACTGTTCTCTGATTGCCATTGAAAAGTTAGAGGCAGAAGACATTTTGGAGGGATTCCCACAAGGTATTGTAGAGGGTGAGAAGCAAAATGCAGAACATGTCAACGATCCCATTTATTTCAAATACCAATCCCTCCTTCAGTTCGCAAACACGCAAGTGCACCTACTTAACTACCTGCTGTTATGAGTCGAGTCCAACTCATATCCACCCTGGATAGGGTTTTCCAGGAGTGGTGGTAGATCTGAACTACCAACCTTGCAGTTCAAACTGACCTTGCAGTCCAGTGCTTATCCTACAGCACCACATCAGGAATAACTTAATTATCTAGTCAGCTCTATATAGGTTTATATCTTATATAAGAACGGAGAAGTGTTTGGAAGGCCAGTACTACGTTGTTATATGGGCCACCTAGACTAGCCAAGAGGACTTAAAATATTTACTGATGAAGATCAAAGACCACAGTCTTCAGTATGGGTTGCACCTCAATGTAAAGGAAACAAAAATCCTCACCACTGGATCAATAAATAACATCAAGATAAATGGAGAAAAGATTGAAGTTATCAAAGACTTTATTTTGTTCAGATCAACCACAAACACTCAGGGAAGCAGTATTCAAGAAATCAAATGGCATATTGCATTAGGCAAATCTGCTTCACAAGACCTCTTTAAAGTGTTGAAGAGCAAAGATGTCCATTTGAAGACTAAGATGTGCCTGACCCAAGATAGACATGGTATTTCCAATAACCTCATATGCATGTGAAAGTTGAACAATGAATAAAGAAGACTGTAGAAGAATTGATGCATTCGAGTTACGGTTTTGGAGTCGAATACCAAAATTACCATGGAGTACTACAAGAACAAACCAATCTGTGTTGGAAGAAGTACAGCCAGACTTGATCCCTTCATACTTTGGACATATTATCAGGAGGGACCAGTTCTTGGAGAAGGACATCATGCTTGATAAAGTGGAGGGTCAGCGAAAAAAGAGGAAGACCCCTAACAAGATGGATTGGCACAGTGGCAGCAACAATGGGCTGAAATGTACCAACAGCTGTGAGGTTGGCGCAAGACCAGGCAGTGTTTCATTCTGTTGTGCATGAGGTCACTATGAGTCAATACTGACTCAATGGCACCTAACAACCACAGACTAGGGTTAGAAGGGATCACTAAAGGGGGATGAAAGTTGTCCTCAAAAATGGTCTTTGACCCAGTGAACGAGGCTTCCTGCAGAGCCTCTGCAATACATAAAACTACAGGTAGAAACCGGAACCACATCCAGATCTCCAGAGATGAGAAATTTCCACTTGAAAGGACGAGCAG